ATTTTTTGCTAGTCGATACACCCTGTCTTCCACATCCTTGTTGATGTGCCACGTGCAAAGTAAGTGGGCCGACTGAGGGAAATTCATCCGAATAGGATAAATCAAACTCAACTCCCTGTCAGTGACAATGGCTGTAGGATGTACATCAGAAGGTAACAGAAGTCTCAACCGCTGTAGGACCCAGTTATAGCTGTACTCGGTCTCGTCCTTGATAATTGCATAGGCAATTAAGAAGATCTTGTTGCACGGCGTCATTCCAATCATTTCCACTAATGGCATCTTGTACCTGTAAAAATGAAAGCAACATAGAATCAAAAAACCTATTCAAACATACTAATAATATTCGCATCAAATTGATATTTATAAAGTAACATAACATACCTGTTGGTTTTGTACGTGGAGTCTATACCGACATACCAGTAATATGTCCGAACCAGACAAGCGAATTGAGGTTGCGACATGAAGACACGTGTCAACGCCTGTGTGTCCGGATCAACATCTACGTAATGTATATAGTTGTTGGCCTTAGCCAAATTCAGAAGTTGGTCAGCCACATCTCTACCCTGCAAATTATTTTTCTGCACTTTATGTCTATAGTTGTACACTTGTTTACAAGTAGCGTTGTCTACAGGGTTTTGCTCCTGAATCGCAGCTAAAATTGCTGCCGGCCTTGCCTGAGCAGAAGTCATATCACGGACAATCTTTTTGGACGGATCGCTAAGGCCGCTCATCTGTCGATGACCCTCGGGATTAACAGCCAACGCATGATTATGCTTTTCCTTCTCATCATCTAAAGGAACCGAGATATACCATTTTTTTGATTGAGAATCAAATTTGACTCTTAACTGAAAAAGGCAGTTGGTCGATTTAGTTTTCGATTTTCTCATAATAGCATTAACTACCTTTCCTACACGGCTTCTGTAACGTTCTCCCCGATTGCACCTCAACAACCTATTCTTTCCTTCTTTTTCGTGTCTCGAGATGACCAATGAGAAACCCTATATTGCAATATCTTTTGCCCATTCAATAGATTCGTCAACACCATCAAATAGATTAGTTGTTGTGAAACAAGGTCGGTAATCAAGACCGTCTCCTCCAAAATCTTCGACCGGCGTCTGCAATATATTACGATGTATGTTAATAATTTTACAAAATAATCAATTATAATTCTAGCATAATATCAATAAATTTTATTTTTTAAGATAATCAATTCTAATCAAGATGTTATTATAAGAATTAGTACAATAATACTAGTAACTATACTAATTACTATGTTAGTATAATAAAAAAATACATATTTGTAATTAGTATAATCATAATGAATTATATTACTTATAATATAATTTATATGAATTATATTACTTATAATAAATTATATTAGTTATATTAGTATAATTATATTATATATTAGTAATTACTATTATAAGTTATAATAATCATACTAATTACTATTATAAAATGTATAATATATACTAACTATTAATTTATACTAATATAAGTTTTTGTATTATANAGAAAGCTTTACTAGGTAAGTGAAGCAGTTGAGCCCTGGCGAAAGAGCCACCGCGTTCGGCAGCCCCGAAGCCAATGCTGTGTAATGAGCAGCTGCGCCTGACAGGGCCACTGCTAGGACATCGGCCACCGTCTCCTGCTTTTCTAATTTATTTTTAACTTAATATGATTATTTATTGAGTAAAAATGCGTTGATTTTGGTGGTGCTAATGAGGACTCCGGCTAATGATCGTTATGGATTTTCAGTCCTTACAGCACAAGTGCTTTTTCTAGCCTTCCAAAATCAAAAGCTGAACTTTTTTGATTTATGTAGGTTGTGATGAGGTACTATAACGAACATGAGAAAAAAAATCAAGGTTTCGGTATGAAGTTGAAGAACATAATAATTTGTAATAATTCAATTTCTGATACAGAAGATCGTCTATAAGACGCAACTGTAGAGCATATTCTCGTCATATTACATATCGAGCTCTAGAGGGCAGAGACTCGTGCTGATAACGTGTTATAAAACTATAGAGAAAGAGAGATAATAGAGGAAATGTATTCTCGAAAGTACAATTTTATTATAACTGAAACTCCTATTTATAGGAAAACTTCTGATGACACAATTCGTAATAATACAATTACATCAGGGGCAAAATAGTCATTCACATACATTATTTTATGCACCTCGTGCACCTCATGCACACATATTTCATAACAAATAAGAATCAAACTCCTATTCTATGTATTTTTAAACTCCTATTTACATATACTTTTCAAATTTGTGTCATCTTATACATAATATTTCTTTTTTTTTTTTTTTTTCAGAAAAAAAAGATGTTGAAAAGCAAAGTCTACGAATTAAAACCGGACATGAGATTACCTATGAGAGTAAGAGCATCAAAGGATCATTCAAAAACGTTACATGAAAATAGACTCAACTTAAAAAATATATTCTCCAATACAACAGTAAATGGATTGAGTCCTGCTAATAGGACAGACATAAAAAGAGACTCGGTCAACCTTGAGCATGTAAAAGACTCGGTCTCTTTGCATTGAAATTAATTGCAGTGTTCTAAAAGTCACTAGGCGCTCGACCAACACCTAGCGCCAGAACACCTAGGCGGTGCCTAGAAATTAACATTAAATACCTTATTTTTTATTTATTTTCACTACATATAAAATAAAATTATCTCAGATATTTCAGATATATTGTGGGTAGCATAATTGAGAATATACCTGCTGAAGGGGCTTCACTTGATGCAATAGCTTCTACAAGAATACTTTACTGGGTTCCCCAGCAGCTGACACAAGCAGATCGGCTGTATGTCAACCAAGTTAGCGTCGGGCATCACCCCGGGTCGGGCCGGGTCAGGTTGCTCCCTCTCACTCCACGAACGTCAATCCGAGAAAGCTTTACTAGGTAAGTGAAGCAGTTGAGCCCTGGCGAAAGAGCCACCGCGTTCGGCAGCCCCGAAGCCAATGCTGTGTAATGAGCAGCTGCGCCTGACAGGGCCACTGCTAGGACATCGGCCACCGTCTCCTGCTTTTCTAATTTATTTTTAACTTAATATGATTATTTATTGAGTAAAAATGCGTTGATTTTGGTGGTGCTAATGAGGACTCCGGCTAATGATCGTTATGGATTTTCAGTCCTTACAGCACAAGTGCTTTTTCTAGCCTTCCAAAATCAAAAGCTGAACTTTTTTGATTTATGTAGGTTGTGATGAGGTACTATAACGAACATGAGAAAAAAAATCAAGGTTTCGGTATGAAGTTGAAGAACATAATAATTTGTAATAATTCAATTTCTGATACAGAAGATCGTCTATAAGACGCAACTGTAGAGCATATTCTCGTCATATTACATATCGAGCTCTAGAGGGCAGAGACTCGTGCTGATAACGTGTTATAAAACTATAGAGAAAGAGAGATAATAGAGGAAATGTATTCTCGAAAGTACAATTTTATTATAACTGAAACTCCTATTTATAGGAAAACTTCTGATGACACAATTCGTAATAATACAATTACATCAGGGGCAAAATAGTCATTCACATACATTATTTTATGCACCTCGTGCACCTCATGCACACATATTTCATAACAAATAAGAATCAAACTCCTATTCTATGTATTTTTAAACTCCTATTTACATATACTTTTCAAATTTGTGTCATCTTATACATAATATTTCTTTTTTTTTTTTCAGAAAAAAAAGATGTTGAAAAGCAAAGTCTACGAATTAAAACCGGACATGAGATTACCTATGAGAGTAAGAGCATCAAAGGATCATTCAAAAACGTTACATGAAAATAGACTCAACTTAAAAAATATATTCTCCAATACAACAGTAAATGGATTGAGTCCTGCTAATAGGACAGACATAAAAAGAGACTCGGTCAACCTTGAGCATGTAAGAGACTCGGTCTCTTTGCATTGGAGTTAATTGCAGTGTTCTAAAAGTCACTAGGCGCTCGACCAACACCTAGTGCCAGAACACCTAGGCGGTGCCTAGAAATTAAAATTAAATACCTTATTTTTTATTTATTTTCACTACATATAAAATAAAATTATCTCAACTTACAATAAATCTACAGATCTAAGTCTAAATAATAATACATGATAACAAAAGAATGAAATTAGTATTTAAAAAAAAAACAGTGAATAATTAACGCCGAGGCCTAGGCGCCGCCTAGCTGCCTGGCCGATTTTTTCAGCCGATTCATACAAATCGGAAGCGGTTGGGCGGCGCCTAGCACCTAGGCGCCTGTAGCCAGTTTTTAGTACACTAGTTAATTGTGTTATTTTTTTTTATAATTTTATCTATGTCATCTAAAACTTACGTCTATTTACATGTCATGTAAACAAAATTAGACCCAAAATATTGTTGATGCTCTAAAAAAGTCTTCCAACTCCTATGAAATGTTTAATAAAAATCAAACTTCTATTGTTTAATAAAAATCAAACAATGAATAATTATGTTTCTATGTATTATAAAATTAAATCAACTATTAATACTAAATATGAATTAATAAAATTATATATCAATTAAAAAAATTATCTATAAATTTCTTACTTATGAGTTGGAAAAATTATTATCACATAAAATGGGTAAATCATATAAGTGAAAAGGTTAATTTTAAATATAATTAATAATGCTATTTATTAAAAAGTATTTTATTTATTTATTTATTTCTTACATTTTCTCAAGAATTTCAATATAAATATTTTAGGCAGCAATAGTTAAATAAATAATGTAAATCTTACTTGATTAATATAAGTCATAGATTGTACACAAATAGCCTCACCTCACATCACCATTTTAAAGAAGGATCTATTGAGTACAACCTATATATATTATTCTTAGAATCCTGTATTTTTCTAGCCCAAACAAATTTAAACAAATAAAACTTAAACTAACCAAAAAATTCTAGTTCGAGTAGCTATTAAATAATATGAACAAAAACGAATTCGAAGTTTGATGAATAATTAGGCAAATGATCTCAAACACAAACTTTTGATCAAATAATAAAAATAAAACGTACTCTCAAACAATGTTCAAATATATTCAAACCCAATCTCGAAGTGTTAAAAGTTAACTCATATTAGCTCGGTAAGACAGGCACATATTTTGATGCTAACTGTAGTATAAACTACTTCAATAATATCCTACCTAAATACCCATTTTCGAAGTAATTAATTTTCCTTTTCCTTCCCTTTTTTCGAATAGGGTATAGGACCCCTGCAGTTGCGTTTCATTTTTCATCATACAAAGACGTCAATCGAGTGATCGTTTCCGGGATTTTAATCAGCACTAACACATGTAAGGTCCACAAAACACAACCAAAAATAAGGGCGAAGTTCTTCACAAATCTAGCCTTTCCGATTTTCCCCAATCAATCAATTTTGCAGTTAACCTGCACATTCAAAGCACACAGAAGATGTTTAAGTTCTTTAAATTAGTACAGTACAGCTTTGTGGTTTGTACTTCTCAACAAATGCAATTCTTAGGATTGTAATTTGAACAATATAAACAAAATATCATGGAGCTAGTTGCAATTCAGTGAAAGATAAATGATTTCCTTTCTTTCTCTGTGATTTAGCCTAAACATCAAGGAATTCTTTTTATTTTTTTTAATAATTAACCCGTAAGAAAGAGATCAAGCTTGCACCTTGATAGAATGACGGACCCACTGAAGAAAATCCAGCAGCTCTGTGTTCCTTCAAAGTGCTCGACAACCAGTCGAGCCCCTCGTACAAGCCATCACCTTTGATAGCACAAGTCCCTTGTATGTGCCACTTTCGATTTTTAAGATCATAGAGACCTAGGCCTTCACAAACTTCCATAGGTGTCATTGCTCCTTTCTGGACAGGAAATGTGAAATCGTGACCGAAAAATAAGGATATAGAATGAAATTCCAGGAATGTAATCTGCTATTGCAAAATGAAAACGTAACGTGACAGGGAAATGATGAGAAAGTTAGACGTCATGCCCTATATTTATGACTTAGCAGAGGCAGACTTGTACGGATTTTAGTATAAACATTTATATTTGTAAAATAAGCAATTATCCCATCTTATTTGTCGGAAGATGTTTATTATTTTATAGAGTATCTTTTGAAAAATAAACTCGCGGTTTTGTTTTATCCCGAAAAAATAAATATGCAAATCAATATTCCACATTCCTCTAGCATATTTGTCCCCATTAAAACTGTCAAAATCAAGTTACAAAACTTATTATCTCGCTATAAGCCTCAATTTCTCATGGTTATGAAACTATGTCAATGCTTGGTTATCTGAAGCACGTGAATTCATATAAAAAAAGAAAAAGAAATTTTCTTAACGGAGTGACTAGAGTTTGTCCAAAAAAGTTGCAACAGCCTACAGGAAACAGAATTTGGTCCAAGCTCAATCCATGGCTTTAAGCTTCACTACCATAACCAAATCAAGATTTTACTTGAAAGGGATGACTAATACGTGCATACCATGTCTTGCTTGTTCGCAAAGACCAAAATAACAGCATTAAGCATGAATGGGTCTTTGATGATGGCCTGGGAAAATAGCAAATCAAGTTAAAAGATCTGACGTTCGAGAATTTGTAAGACATAAATGTATCGATCATTTGAAAATAGAACCTGAAATTCTGCCTTTGCTCTCCCAATTCTCTCTCGATCCAGAGAGTCCACAACATATATCTGCATACGAAAAGACCAGGATTGAAAAATCATCCAGGAAAAAAAAAATCTTGCTACCAAGAAAGTGGAAGTGAAGTGGAAACTGAACCAACTCATTTTGCACACGAATAATAGGAAGGCAACTGAGGTAAGAAGGCAACCAGAGAGGTGAAAAATAGGCAATTGTTGGGGTCTGTGGCTTGGATCAAGAATTGTAATGCTGGGAAAATCAAGATAGCACCACGGTGTCACTTATCTAGTGGAATATGTGAAATTAAATTTGCAATTCTTACCAGCCCATCAGTATTATTGAAGTAATGTCTCCACAAGGGTCTTAACTTTTCTTGACCTCCCACATCCCACACCGTAAATATCACATTTTTGTACTGAACCTTCTCAACATTAAAACCTGCATCGCAATAAATTCAATTGTTGTGAGCCCTTTCCCAGGACATTCACAAAACAGAGACAAAATCCATAACGACACCAAATAGCAATGACAGCAGTATCTATCTCACCTGGTAAGGAAACTGCAGATTATTTATGACTGCCTTAGAAGCATAATTAAAGACTTCAATAAATATCAGATAACGCTGTAACTACATAACACAGAGAACTCGGGTGCGAATTGATATGCATATGGAAAAAAATTATTTCAATGGTATAATACACCAATGACAAAAAGTTTTTTTTTTCTTTTTTTTTTGATTTAATTTGTACAATCGCAACCTATANTAGATTGTGAATGCATATGGGATTAAATGTAATGATTAAAGATGATGTGAGACAAAAATAGTAAAATAATGATTGTAAATGGTTGGCAGTTAAAAATACGCGAGTGGACGAATAGTGAATTTTGTTGGAAAGGTGTAGTACAAACTGATTTTTATTTTTTAAATGTGTTTATATGAATATGAGGAGAAAAGAGTAGGGGTAGATGAATAACAAGCTTATTGAAAAAGAAATTGTATCCAGTCAAAGTTCCAATGAAAATAATTCATCCGGTGAGACGAAACTGAATACAACCCATATCCAAATCGCTCCTTCAGAAAGTTCTTTTTATGGATGGTATGAGTTCCAAGTATAATTATATTACGAAGACCCATCATAGCACTCTACCTCCAGCACTAATCACATATGCGATGCGCGACCAGGTTCAATAGAATGGCCCCTGTAAGTATTTTATTTTGGTTGAACTTAAGATGAAATAACTTAAGGTCCAAGGTATCTCAAGTCAAGACAAAGTTTTATTTTTGATCAGCCAAACATCCACTCAGTATATATGGAAACAAACCGCCAGTCCCCTACTAGTATTAATCCTACAAACAAGTAACAAACATCATCTACCAGTACTTGCATATTTTTCTGAGCTCTTAAGCTCACATATATGGCATGAAGTTTAATCCTAGTTGTGCATTTAATTCCAGCATGAAGGGGTTTTAAGACATGGTAGATGTGAGGAGGTACTGTAGCATACACTGACAATGGGACTTTCTAAATAATAAATATGCACATGTAGGGTCAAAAGTTCATTGCTAGTCTAATAAAATGAAACCTCCCTCCCTCTCTCCTTCTCTCTACCTCTCTTCTTCTTCATCATCATCCATTTTTATATTCAAATTTGTTTCCCTTTTTTACCACATTGAAAGTATCTGCAATAGAGAGGGGACTTCGATACCACCTCCTAAAGTGGATTGATGAAATTTACGACCTTAATATCACGTCAAACAATCTGTTAAAATAATTAACATGAAATTATAAAAAATAAGTTGTATATCTCACTCAAAGATACTAAGACAACACTGATACTTATGAACAGTGGTAGACGAACAACAATCAGAAACCATCCCAACCAAAATAAATTTTGTTTTCCCATAAACATAACTGCATCAAGCTAACAGAACTGGCATGTATTTACCACCCGTTATGTTTCCACTACTTCTGCCCATGTTTAGAAGAATACTCAATTGTTCAATATATACTAGTCAATAAACAGAGAATAGAAGAAAGTAAGAACTTGCAAACAACAAGACAGAATCATGTGTAATGTTATTAGTTTATTAAACATTTAACTCAACACAATATCAATAATAAGGTGACGAGAAACAAGTCTCAGATTAGCAACTTTAGATGTTCCACAAGATTTTGACAAGATCGTAGATGAACTATAAACTAATATGTAAAAATAACCAACCAATGGTAGGAACTGTTGATAAAACCTCCCCAATGTGAAGCTTATACAGTATTGTTGTCTTGCCAGCAGCATCCAGACCAAGCATTACAACCTAAACCAATTAAAACGCAAAGCACAAAGAACACAAGTCATAAACATTGATCAAGTCAAAACCCTCAAACTTGTAAACTAAACATATATGCGACCAGCCAGAATATTCTGTTATCTTAAGTGTTATATCCAAGAGTGGAGCGAGGTTCATTTTCATGGAAAACACTCTTTTCTATAGCATAGTCATCACATATTTCAGATTCAAGCATGACAATGATAATGCTGAAATTCCATTACTCCGGATCCAAAAACTTTGAACCATGTCCTGTACCATTTCGAGGGGCATGCAGAAAGAACTTCGGAAATATAATTATATAATTCTACCAAGTTTTTGACTCAATTGCAATATTTATTGATCAAACGAGATAGCATGTTGTGGACTGCATAATTATCAGGTGAACTCCAACAATTGATGGAACTAAAACTACCAGCACCACGCCATTCAAAATAATTTTAATTTCCAATTCAAACAATCAAACGCTGAAAATGAGCTCAACTTGGCCAACAAAACAAACTTTGTTCCACAATAGTATAATCACACCTCAAGCACGCGAAGACAACAGTTTCAGACTTTCAGCTACACAAATCGATTGTCAAAGTAAAGCTTCGGATCAAAAGAGAGAACACAGAAACGTACCCGCATCTCAGAGTTGCCGAAGAAAGTATCGAAGAGTTTGCGAAACGCTTGACCCATTCGGCGATTATCAATACCAAAATGAGATGAAAATCAACGATCGGAGTAGAATCGAGCAATCTATCGAATTTTGGGAACAGAAAAAATGAGGGAAGAGAGAGAAATTCCTTCAGGAAACAAGTTAGCGTTTTCTATATTTCGTCTCCTTTTCCTTAATTTTCATTTTGAATGTCTGTGTTCTCTTCCCTTTTAAACTTTCCATGTTATATTTCCCCTTTATTTCGTTTAATTCGAACTCTCTTAGGTTTCTAAAATGATTAGAGCATGATTGGATATAAATCCAACTCAAAAAATTCAATCATTTTTAACTCAACCACTTTTTTTAGCTCAACTTTAACTCAACCCCCTATCATCAATATTACCAATATAATTAAATAATATCAATCAATCATTCTTACGCACAACATCAACCTTAATTCATCAACTCACATAATTTTAACTAACCATCACATCACATCTCCTCTCTCCTACTTTTACATCAATTTAATTGGGCGTTACTATTTACTGCCCCCCTATTACTAGTCACCGCCCCCTGGACGATTTTGCCTTTTTCATTTTTTCCAAACATCTCAGAGCAAAGTGTACGGCGAAAGTCTTTAAATTCCGAGGTACGAAAAATTTTATGTCCGGCCGGCGAAACCGGACAACTTTTAGCCCGTCCGACCGCCGAAACCGGACGGTCTAAAAGGTGCCCGGTCAACCGGTTCGGACGACATAAAAGCCGTTCAAAATATTCGTCCGGTCGGACGGGCTATGTCCGAACCGGCCGGCCAGACGCCTTAAAAGACGTCCGGCGGCGACGGCCGGTCGAGACCGGTCCATCCGGTCGGACGATTTTTTTTTTTTTTTTTATAAATTATTATGTTATATATTCGAAATAATTATGTTATAAATTGGACGTTAGATATTATCGTGTTAGGACTTAAAAATGATTATGTTACATGTTAGACTTGATTATGCTATTAATTGGACGTTAGATATTATCGTGTTATGAGTTAGAATTTATTATGTTACATTTTAGACTTGATTATGCTATAAATTAGATGTTGGATATTATCGTGTTAGGAGTTAGAAATTATTATGTTACATGTTAGACTTGATTATGCTATAAATTGGACGTTAGATATTATCGTGTTACGAGTTACAAATTATTATGCTATATGTTAGTCTTGGTTATGTTATAAACTGGACGTTAGATTTTATACGTGTTACGAGTTACAAATTATTATGTTACATGTTAGTCTTGGTTATGTTATAAATTTGACTTTAGATACTATCGTGTTAGGAGTTACAAATTATTATGTTACATGTTAGAGTTGATTATGTTATAAGTTGGACGTAAGATATTATCGTGTTAGTAGTTACAAATTATTATGTTACATGTTAGAATTAATTATCTTATACATTAGAATGAATAGATTATAATTTAACATGTTTTAAAAATATAAATATTATACTATATAGCAGGAGTCATGGGAAGATTTTGGAGGAGATGGTTCAGTTTCGATACCCGTACATTATTTAATAGTGATAAGGAGGATATTGAAGCTACAAAATACCAGACAATGCTGAATGGTTTCCTATTAGTAATTTCGAAACACAAAAAGAAAACAGTCAAGCTTTTGAAGTGCCATAGAGGCGAACGCTACAGAGGCACAGGCGGAAGTTCCAGAAAGACAAAAACGAATAAGTGCAATTGCGATTTTGAGATAAAAGTAAAAACAGTGCCAGGAGAGCCATACTGGAGGATCTGTAGATGTAGCAAGGGAAGAGAAGGGCTACCATAACCATTCATTTGTTGTGTATCCTGAGGGTCATCGCCAGTTGAGCTTCCTCAGCGCTTCATCTAAGAATATTATTCGTGATATGACGGACGCTCTGGTGGCACCGACAAAAATTATGGCCGCGCTGAAGGAAAAGAATCCGGGAGACAACGTTCATGTGCGACAGGTATATATATTTATATCTTGTAATATATGTTTTAATTAATTTTTTGAAGTTAATTATGATAATTAGTAATTTTTTTATATCTAAAAGTTATTGTAATAGTTAATTTTATTATATTTACTAATGTATTATTATTATGATAGTTAATAATTTTTTTTATGAAATAAATTAATTAATATACTTTTTTATTTATTAATATAATAATTTTTTTGTTTTAAATTATAATAATCATTATAATTAATGCTAATCGGTGACCGGTATATAACTTTAGAAATAAGCTGCGGGAAGAGAGTTTCGAGGGTAGAGACGTTCCTTCCCAGCTTATGCATTTGGCCATGAGTAGCGAGTATACAGTTTATGCAGAATCCGATCCGAACACGAAAGCATTGACGCATATATTCATGGCCCATCCTGCATCGATCAATCTATCCGGACATATCACTGGTATGTCGGCATAGATTCCACGTACAAAACCAACAGGTATGTTACTTTATAAATACTTTATTAGTATGAATCTTAAATAGTGTGTTTGATTAAGTTAAGTTTTATGTGATTATGTTTTTTGTCTTCTTGGTCTCATTTGCACAGGTACAAGATGTCGTTGGTCGAGATGATTGGGATGACGCCGTGCAACCAGAACTTCCTAATTGCATATGCGCTCATCAAGGACGATAAAGAGGCCAGTTACGACTGGGTTCTACAAAAGTTGAGACTACTGATAGGCCAAGGCGTATATCCTAATGTGGCTGTCAGTGACAGAGAGTTGGGTTTAATCACTCCTATTCAGAGGCATTTTCCCGAATCAGCCCACTTACTCTGCACGTGGCACATCAACAAGGATGTGGAAGACAAAGCCTACAAACTCTTTGGGAAGAGTAAAAAATTCTCGCAGATTTTCACGCACAGTACGTGGAAGGCGATTGCGGAGGCCAGTACGTTTGATGACTACAACGATGCCGTTGCCGAGCTGCGCGCAAAATACTCGAAGTCTCCACTGGTGGTACAGTATGTGGAGAACACATGGTTAGGGCACAAGGAGAAGTTTGTGAAAGTTTGGACCAACCAGCTAGCACATTTTGGAAACACAACTTCCTGTAGGGTGGAGAGTGCCCACTCTGTGTTGAAGCAGTTGCTTCACACGTCCACCGGCGCGCTCGATACAATTTGGCAGAAGATTAATAAGCAGATCGATCACCAAGTGACTGAAATCAGGTACATACTGCAATTTTTAAATGCGTTATTATATTACTGCATTAATTATAATCTAATGTTATGTAATGTATTATCAGGTCGGCGCTTGAGGATTCGAGATCTAAGAAGAGTACACGGTATAAGGGAATCCTTTTCACGAGCGTGGTACTGAGGGTCTCGCATTACTGCCTGAGTTTACTGGACTCTGAGCTTACGAGGATGCATGGCTTGGACATTGATGTTTACGATAGTTGCGACTGTGTATTGCAGATCACTCATGGACTTCCTTGTGCATGTCTGCTCCGTACCGCATTTGATTCTAAAATTTCGATTGATCTCGGAATGATTCACCAGTTCTGGAGAACACTACAGATGTTAGAGCCAGATAATTTAAGGTTAATGTTTTATTTATAATTTTCTACTTGTTGTTTCATTTTTAATTACAATTTATGTAATTAAAGTACATTATTTGGTCTAATTCATTGAATTTTTTATCGTATACTTGTAGGGACTGGTCATCAGAGCCAGGCGAGCCAGGGTGCATGGTCAGATGCGGAGTTCCTTCGGTCACTTGTGAATGAGGTTGAAGCCGGCGATCCCACGACGATGCGGTACGTGAATCAGTTCATGTACAGTCATCTTTACCCAAACCAACAGTATTATGCGGAACCTGAGGTTAAGGAAAACCCGCGAGGTCGTCCCAAGAAAACTAATTCAACTAAGCGTAAACCATGTGCTTGGGAGTACAACGATAGATCGCGAGGTCAGAAATCGAGTCGTACGACCACTTCTTCGCGTGGACAGACAAGCTCATCTTCTCAACAGTCACAAGGGGAAGCAGGTGATACATTTTTTTTTCTTAAATATGGTTGAACGTTAATTAAAGTATTTATATGATTATATAAATTGTGACGTGAAATTAATATGATATTGCAGAGATTAGACCGACAAATATATTTGATTTTACAATGTGGCAAAATATCCCCTGTCATATGTTGGACTACATAGTGAGTTACCTGAATGTGGAGTCGGATGGTAACTGCAGATTTTGGATCATCGCGAGTTACGTGTATAGTAACCAGAAGCACTGGGCAGTCGCAAGAGACAACATTGCGAAGGAGGTCGACAGCCACCATCGATTGTACGAGTACATCTATTTTAGAGATATCGACACCGGACTCCGTCGAGTAAGGTGGGACGGGGCCGTTGTGGACCGGCTCACTGGTTCGAAGTTTCGCAGGACCTCTACCCTGTTGCAACCCTATTTAATGAGGTTGTCGTTCTGTTGGGCTCTGGTCCGCGAGGTGGACAGCACGACCTATTCAGCACCACAGTGTTGCCTATCTGTGCACGATCATCGGCTAGAGGACCATGTCGTGAGATTGTCACGTGTCATCTTGGTAGCGTAGAACACTACATTCGCTTAGATTTGACTCCTGATTGTCCATTACCAAAGCATGCCTATCTTTTACCAATGTCATGAACATGATTTTTGAGGAATTATGAGCTACTAAAAACGGCCTACTCATGCATGTACTAAAAAAGTCCGAAATTAGGGCTTAGGGCCACTGGTAGGCTAACCTCTGCGATGGGGGTAACCTCGTTTTCGTTAAATTTGTATAGGGCCGTATATATGGGCTCAATTTTCACCTACAGGTCTATTTTTTTAGATACTTCCACAATATGATATCCACCGAACTTCCAGTGTCTATAAATACCCTTTGAACATCTTAATTCGCAATTACTGCAGTGATGACCAATGCGTCATTATGTAGGCCCAAGATCCCCTGAAGATCTGCAGCCTCAAACTTCAATGGGACCCCGCTTACCTGCACTGTAACTTCTACTACCTCATCGACGACCTCCTTTTCTCGATCAGTCCTTTCTCTCATTATGCGAATCACCATCAGTGGGGACTCTGGCAATCATCTGGATTACCCCTTTCTTCACATGCCTCTCCATTTGTCCTCCGTCTTGTTGTGCTTATCGCCTATCTCGAGGTCCTCTGGGTGTTCTCTATCTTTATAGACAAACTCCTTCAAATGTCCCACTCTTATGAGGCGCACGATTTCGTTCTTCAGTTCCCGACAAAA